GCGGACAAAATTCACAAGCTACAAGTTTTTATCATCATGAAAAAATCCTACAGACCTTGCAGGGTTTGCGTATTGAGATATCTTGTGTATTACAAGTGATAACAGGAAGGAAAAAATTCCGCAGGCTTTGCAAAGTGAAGCATCTGCGAGATATATCGCATGAACGCATGTAAAAGTTCCTGCATGGTGTGCCTAGAGAAGAATCCTCCAGGATCCTGCAGAAAAGAAACTTGAAAAGTGAGCGTGTTAATGAATCCTGCTCAATTATACTCACCAACTTGCAGGAAAATTTTCGGCGAGGTAACGTGATATAGAAACTTGCAGTATATATCCAACATTCACAGGATTTTTTCAGATTCCTGCGTGTCAGCGCAGGAATTCGTAAATTTTTTTTCAGTGGGTAGAGACACGCGTTTGAATAGAGTTTTCTTTTTTAGCGTATCTTTATCTTTTTTTTGATGTCGTATGTAGATCTCTGTATGTCAGACATGATGATACATGCAAAAAGAAAGGTGATCTCCATACGACATCAAGAAAAAGATAAAGATACGCTAAAAGAGAAAACTCTATTGAAGATGCCTATTTTTATGTTATTTTTATTCTCCTTTTAAATGAAACATGCAGAGAAAGACTGTTATATATGAGACAGTTTTTGTTACGAATATATTTTTGAGAGAAAAACCTTAGTCGTTATCTAATGACGTGATAACAACACAGTTGAATTTCACGATTGTGGTATCATACCGACTGTGTCCTTCCGATAGCCCTCATGACTTTGAATAACAAGACGAAGATAGCAGGTGCTGTGACATTATCTTGTGTAGACAGTAAAAGAGGGGGAAAACGAGGAGTTTACTGAGCTAGGATGATGGAGAAATATAATCAGCAGATGATACGTCAAACAATACTTCCATTTTCGAATAGTGAATTCTTTTTTCCTTCTCACGTCCTCCTGTAACATTAGACAAACAACTACTTGTTAGAACATTTCGAACTGTTGTTTCCTATTCTTTGGCTCTGCGTTCTCTCTTTCCATCGTTGAGTGGACACATTGATTTCCTTGTCAAGTATCTTATTGAATGCACGCATTAGTGACTCTCTGAAGCAACAAACACAAATCTCTTGTTGATTATTAAGCCTAAGTTTTTTCACGCGCGACCTGGCTAATTGTGCGTAAAAATATTTGGGACAGTTAGTTCTTGTTTATTTTTGTTGTTATTGACTGATATTTATTATGATTTATTATTGAAAAGAGATTCTTACTGCTAAATGACAATGTATATGTGATAATCCTGCCACATTCAGAAAACTAATAATGAAACCAATATTTGAGGAAAATATGTAATAAAATTTTGAATTTTTCCTTTAAACATTTTTTAGAAGTACTATTTGCTCTCTAAAATAATCCATCGCACACTGCTAAGGATACCCCCTTCTCTTTTGTGCAGAAAAGTTTTCATTTTGAACTGAACATAGTCTAATGTAGTGGAAAGTTTGGGCTATAAAACGAGACCACTTCCAGGTCTCCATGACCTCCCTTTAAAACATTATGAAGTTTTTAACTTTTTCATATAAAGCCTAGAAAATCTCAATTTTTAGGTTCGTAAATTTTTCTCTCCTTTCCTATATATTCAAAACTTTTTCTTATACATAGTAAAATAGAAGAAAATGTGCTCTTCAAAATAAAATGTCTTGCAGAATTTTCGACATCGGTTTCCCGGTTTCCAAGAGGGCGGAGGGGTACCCTTCAATTAGGCATGAACTTTATTGCACTGATGTCTTGTTTATTTTAAGTTTTAGTTTCTCTGTCGAAAGAATGGCTGAAGCATCGAACTGTACTGTCTGTAATGAAACGTATGGGTCGAATTCTACTTGTTGGTCCTACAGGTGTTGAAAAAGCGTCTTTAATCAACATCTTAATTAATAATAATGTCTTAATTAATATCTGTGAAAGATAACTGCTTTGCTTTTTTTAAAGCCCAACGCTGAAAATCAATCTCATACTATATTCATATGGTTGTACGTTCTATATCGATAATAATCAAGAAAATAGTTCAAAGTCTACTATAGATCTATGTTATTGCGCAGTATTTTTGACTACGTAAAATAAAAATGCGCAAAATAAGCGTTATCAAGAAGTAAAGTGAGAGAAGTTCTGTTTTTTTTGCCATTTTTCGTGATTGGATTTATGCTTTGAACGTATATATCTTCCAAAATTTGATATTGTCTTGTGTGTGTGTGATGAATTACTGTGAAGCATAATGCACAAGGTGCACACCATTTACTACGCTGAATATCTTTTCTGAGATTTTTATAAAATCTTTTAATAATAGATGGAGCGTCAGATCTTAATTCATTCTTGTTAGATTGTGTAGCAACAGACTCAACAGTAGCCATAGCAGTGTTAGAAAATAGAAAAGAAACCGTTAGAGTACAGGATATACTTTTTAAAGTGTTGTCGTCACAAAAGAATTTCTTTCTCTTTTCTTGTCTTTTTCTATTGCCGTCGGTCCAGTAGGGCTACTCTGCTTTGGGCTGTTCTACTCAGATTAGAGTTCTATCGTAGACCGTAAATTCTTTATCTCACATACGACAAGATGCACATACATTCGGATCGTTAAGAGCGTGCGCAGAAACAAACGAGGAAAAATTTTCGTCGAATGAATGGAAAGAGAAGCGAAGATAATTGCTTGTTCTCTTTTCTTTTTGAATATGTCCTTATGGCCGACATACAGATTCTGCAAGACGAACTCTACGATAGAACTCTACTATTCTTAAATCTCTCTCTCTTGTGGTATATAACAAATATAATAAACACCAAAATTACACAGAACGAACTTGAAAGGGACTCCAGCCAATTTATCGAGTGTTTCACCTCAGTCCAGCTCATAGAAAAATGACCAATCTCTGCTGGCATGGTTAGATGCAGAAAACGATTTAGCTGGAATCTCTAGAGCTACCACTTTTCATCAGTTGAGAATATCAGAAACACATGGAAACATAGGTTTTCAACCAATCTGATTCTTGTGGCAATGTTTATTTTATTTTTAGATGCATATTTTCTTCCCTGATGCGTACCATCAATTAAATTGATAATATATATATATAATCAATTCAATTTTCAACCCTACAAAAACTTGTTTTCGACCTTTCGTAAGGGCTCTCTTTTCTTGGATAACATCAAACAATGAAACATGTTATTTTTATACGAAAAGACTCATTCATCAGCTTCATCATTCGATTTATAACTGTTATTTTATCATCATTATCAACTGATTCACTTTCTAATCCTTCAGCATGGCGATCTACCAATTTGAAAGTTTTTAAGAAATAGTAGAGCAAGACACGTCTAACGAGTAGGACTCAAGAAAACCTTAAAAACAACAAAAATTTTATGGAACAGTTCGGTAACAGAGAGAAGATAGCCGGTTCAGTTATGAGTGAAATGAGACATTTAGCAGTTCTTCATGATCTTTTATCGCTGCGAGTCAGTGTATTCTAAACTGAGAAAGAGTTCAAATTTTAATTGAAAATTCGAAGTTTGGTACTGGAAGGCCGTTCTTTTTCTTGTACGATTCTGAATCGAATGGTGTATTTGAAATATTTTTAAAGAGATAAATTTCTCTAAATAAATTATTCGGTCACATTCAGTATGTCAAAACCACGTTTCCCTAGATACTCTACTTGCACTCATATTAAAAAGTTTTCGAATTAACCAAAAGAAACAGTACGATTCAAAACCCTTAACTGCCAAAAAGATTTGTTTTGGGTTAAACCGTTACCGGGGTAATTTTTTTCGTCTAACATGCATTTTTAAATTAACTTTATCCTACACTGTGATAAGAACGAAATATCACTACATAAAGAAAAGTGAGTTAAATAAACACAAATATACCTGTTTGTAGTATGTCATTTTTGCAAACGACATGCTATGCTTTTACATACCCTCTTTCTTTAGAATGGTTTATTATTTTACAGCTTAAATAATCATTTGCATGCTAAAAAGCTTCTTTTGTAAAAAGCCTTTTAGCATGCAAATTCTTTTGTTTCCTACGACTTTATTCATTTTTGCAAGGCTCGATTAACCACATATGTAGAAATACAGCATATGTTTTGCGATTATTGATGAGGATACTAAACTCTGTGAATATCAGACGCTTTTTTGGTAAGAGAAGCAATTTGACTGTTTCATATTTGTGAGTTAAGGGAATTACTGAGTGTGACCTTTATTTTGGTACATCGGTTAGTTTTCCGAAGTCACGATTACTATCTGTTTTCTCGTAATTTTGCTAAAGAATTACATGTGTTGTATTTCAAAATCAGCACTCTGCAAAAAGACATTTAAAATAAGATGCATAAGTCAGTTGCGAATTAGTTGCTTACATCCGGCTTAAAAGAAAACAGAGGAAAATAAAATGGATTAAAATACATCTTATTTTAAGATGTAATATCCATCCATCTTGTTCCAGTGGTTAGTCTCTATATGTAGGACCATGATAGTACCTAGTAAGGTGGTGAACTACCTTACAGTAGCTGGAAGAGAAATGAAAAAAACAGATTTGTTGTACAAATCGGCGTTCTTTATGTAGAGTGATGAACACAAAACAAAAGAGTTGATTGATTTTTCCGTCTGTTGTGGATATAGCTCGTGCAGGACACAGGCACACCTGTGGTAGAATTCACAGTTCTGTAGCTTATCTAGATACAGCAATACAAAACAACAAACCTTGCAAAACTGAAATACTATGATGCTTCGTCAAGCAAGCTTACACGTCTCCATATTATTACAACGTCTCCTATTTTTTCGCAGTGCAGAGCGCAAATGGACACTATCAAAATGTGAAATTTCTGACTTTTGTATAATCTCATACTGTTTACACTGTAATAGAGTTACTGTTAAAAAATCTCAACTACAAAAGTTTTCACTATCTAAATACCGTTTTTCAGAAAATCTTGCTATAAATTGAGTTTACAATGCAATCAAAATATTTTATCTTACGTAAATTATTATCAAATCGTGCGTATTTATTTATTACAACTCCTCCGATTAATACTTATAATACTGCTGCTCATATTCCTTTTCAAACTCGTGTTCCTCAACATTGTATTCGTTTATCTAATCTTCCATTATTATCATCGATTATAAAATTAGTTGAAAATAATAAACCATTACAAGGTTATACAATATTAAATATTCAACATCAACTAGGTGATGTAACTGCTCAAACAGAAGCATTAATAGCCTTAGGTGCATTGCCTTCTAATCTATATTTTCTTCCACCACCCTATACACATCATAGAGAATTTGAATTATTTGTCTTTAATTATTATGGAGTTCCAAAAGAAAACTTTTTTCAATCTTCTTCATATCGTTTATGTTATAATTATGATAAATATCGTTTATTACAAGTCATATTTGAATTACGTCAAATGATTAAATTAGAATTATTAAAGGAAAGACAAAAACATCATAATTTACTTGTATTAGATGACGGAGGATGTTTTTCTGAAGCATTAGCAACATTATTTGACATTCATAATGAAATATTAGATCCTGATGAATTAATAAAAAACCTTCCATTATTATTAAAAACAACAAAATCTGACGCAACATTTATTATATCATATTTTCAATCGATTGAAATTCGTCTTATTGAACAAACATCACGTGGCATATTTAAATATGTCGATCAACAAAATATATCCAAGACATTAAATAAATTTGGAATATCTATTATTGATGTTGCATCAAGTGAGCCTAAAAAACGTCTAGAACCTCCTATTATTGCTGAAGCATGTTTGAATATGTTATCGTATATATTTTATGATGCACCAAATCATTTACGAATTCCTAAACCATTGAAATCCCAGAATTGTTTATTACTTGGTTATGGAGCTATTGGACAAGCAGTAGGTTACGCTTTAACGCACGAAGGAGATTTAGGATTATTTTCAAAAAATTCTGTTAAAGTATGGGATCGAGACGTCACTAGACATAAAGTAGCACAAGATAATGGTTTCGATATATTCAATCAATGGAATAATAAAGAAGAATTTGATTATATTATAGGTTGCACTGGTCGTTGCTCATTATCTCTGTCCTCTTTATCCTTATTACGTAATAATTGTTATTTAATAAGCGTATCGTCGGCAGCTATAGAATTTCCATTTAATGACATGATTGAACATTCATTATTAAATGGAAATAAAAATCCAATAAAAATAAGCTTGTCTGATATACAATTAAATGAATTAAATAATGAAAATATACATCGTAATATAACATTCCAGATTGAAGATCAAAGAAATATAACTGTTGTTAATGGTGGAATGCCTATTACATTTTTGGGCATTTTAAATCCAGCAATACCAGAAAAATTTGATTTAACGGTTAGTTGCATGATAGCAGCGAGTATTCAAGCTGTCGGTACAAAACAACAACTAAATGATAAACAACAAATTATACCACTAGATTCTAAATATTCTAAATTCATTTGTGATTGGTTTGATAATAACATGATTTGATAAAGTTAAATAATCTACGAATGAGCGCTCTAGAGGAGCGATCTTACAACATTTGTGATGGAAAAAAGTTTTCAAACTAGGGTGGGGTGAAACAAATACTACATGTTCGTACCAACAGTGTCCAGTTCTACGAATCCATGGAAATTTCTAGAACTGGCAGAATTCATCATAGTGGGGGAATGTAAGAGGGGCATAAGAGTAAGTAGCGATATCTGAATTCTGAATTTCCGCGGAACTGTGTAACCTGACGTCATTCGTTCGTACTGATCGATTATTACGTTTAATATTGACAAAAAACTAGCTTGAGTTTATTACAACGTTTATCAGCATCATTTGACAATATTTATCTGGTCCTACGAGGTAAAGTTTACGCAAAAAATCGGTGTTATAGTACCCAACAAAGTACCCCTTCTTCTTTTAATTGTATGTCTAGTTACTGGGATCCGGAATAGCAACAATCGTATGAATTTGAAACTGAATCCGTCCAAAATGCTATTCGACACACTCGTCTGTTTGCAAATGGAAACTTGAAACACGCATATACTTGATTAATGCGAACATTTAAAAAATTGCTGTAGGGGCATGCAGTCTTATTGTAATGTAGTCTGATACTGCAGGTGGTTTACGCAACAATAACTGACGAAAGTGGACATTTTTGCTGAGTATTTGTGACATATATTCCTTAATGTGATTTGAGAAACATTTTGTCAGAAATGTCAGGTTAATCTGAAGGAATTGTATTACTCTTGCCGTACCCAGGAAGAAATTTTGGACCTCCGCAGGCCCTTTTAATCTATTAAGAAGTTCATAAGTAAGATTCATGCGACACAATAAGGCATTCGAACACATTAAAATAGGCAATTTCGCGCCGCTAATACGTGTGAACACGTTAGAAGAACAAAAATCGAACCTGAATCGCAGCTCCGAAACAGTGTCCAAAGGCGTACAATGCGTTAAGCCAGAATTTCATACCAAAAATCTGTCCGAACGTATAATTTTGTCTAAAAATGGACAAAACTAAGCCTTCGGAAGGCTCAGAATTACCAACGCCTTTACATACATCAAAAATGTTATCGACCGCACAGAGACAGTGAATATCTGTCGAAGTATATCATAATCTGTCGAAATTACTGACCGGATGATAATTTGCTGAAACTATATTTAATGACTTACAATTTATTAATTATTTCTATAACGTATAATACGTTAAAAAAACTAACGAATTATCATGTATTAAAAGTAGTTATTGTTGTGGAAATTTCGTTATAACGCAGTACAAGTATTTAAAAAATTATAAGACTATAATAATGATAATGTCTTAGACAGAGTAAGGCATTATATCACATTAAACTACGTAAGATGCACGTAAAGCAAACTTCGAGTGAAATTTTTATTATAAATTTTTATTTTTATTATTTATGCATTAAAGGTCATTAATTTATGAAAAGCATTTTTTAATCCATTATCGTGCTTGAAATCCACATTAAGTCTCAAATTGGAGCACATCATAATGAATGACTAAGTGTTAACGCACAATAATGTGGATACTAAGATGCACGTAAAGCAAACTTCGAGTGGAATTTTTTTGTGCTTTATTATACATATTCTGAATCGCCAGGTCGAGCTGATCACGAATATCACCTTCCCAGCTCGAAAAAGCCAAAAATCCTTTTTCAAAAAAAGACGTACAATTTTTTCCGCTTATGTTTTTACTTCTTACAATTAAATTTTTCGAATTCCTCGTTGAAAACTGATTCTAGTGAAGTGGCCTTCAAGGACTTTTTGCCACAAATAAAATTTTGGCACAGTACGAAACTCGCCTGGCTCGCCGATTGACACCTTCAGCTTGCAAACCTATCACAGATTTTGGGTTAAGGGATAGGTCCTCCGTTTTTCT